TGTGTCATCTATTACTTAGATTACCTATCCTATATTATCCACCCATATGTCACCTTCATGAGAAATCTTCCCTGATGTCCCTAGGGTGAGCTCACCATTTCTTTCTTTGTGCTTCCACGAGGATGTGTTAGTACCTCTGCTTTTATGCCTACATGGTTAGAATTATCTGTTCACATGACCTTTTCTTCTGGCTGTGAGATCATCAAAGTTAAGAACTTCATTCATTTGATACTTAATCCTTGTGCAATAAATGCATGAATGAGTTGTTGATATTTCACTTCAGATTATTTTCAGAGAGCGTTTTGTTTTGTTTTGGGTTTTTCATATGACCTTCTAAGCCAGGATGGCGTTACTATCCTGGATAACAAGAGCTGTAATTGTACGTTACATATGTCCAAGTGTTTTCATGAATATTTTATTTGAACATCATTCTGACTCCATAAAGGAGAGAAGCATTACCATCCTTGCCCTTTAGACATAGGCATGTGACATTAAGGAGCCTTCCCTCAATCATCTGCCTAGTGAGTGACAGAGGAAAGATTACCAAGGGTCCTTACCTGGCCTTCTTCTAGCACTTGATCTGTATGAGGGCCTCATTTTTAGAAAGTTGGTAATTTTTTTTTTTGTGATAGAAGGTGTAGCTTAGAATGTCATAGTAAAGACAAATAGCATTAAGATATGAAAAGAAATTCAATACTGCTTTATTCTTGGGAAATTTTTGCATGTTTTTCCTATTTGTCCATCACATTTTATTAAATTAAGAGTGCCAAGTGGAGATTATGAATTCCTTAACTTCCTCCTTAACATGTCAGTAACCTCCCACATGTTCTTGTTTTAGCCTAAGTAACAGAGGGCTGAGAGATTGATCTTATCTGTATAATTGTTCTGTTTGTGACAGTATACTTGAAGAGAATAAATTAAATGAAAATGTAGGGCCAGGGATTTGGCTCAGTGGTGCTGCTGCCTGCCTCGCAAGTGCAAGGTCCCAAGTTCGATCCCTGGTACCGAAAAGAAAATGTAGTTATTATGAAAGACTTCAGCAGAAAAAATTGTGTTTTATTTCACTTGAAGATTTCACTGGTCTGCTATGATCTGCTGGTTACATGAATGGTTGAGGCGAAATTTACCTGGAAAGGTTTCCTTTTTTGCAATTATGCATGTGCATTAATGTAGTAGAATAATGATGTGTGGATAAAAAGTAGTGAAAACTTTGCTTCTTTTGCTCAGTGGCCCAGACTTCCCTGGTGGTACAGAATGTTTCAGTCATCCTATGTGGGATCATCCTGATGATGGTTTTCTTACACAAAAATGAGCTTCTGACTATGTACCATGGATGGGTTCTTGTAAGTGCTCAATGCGATTCTTTTTTGTTTTCTTTAAAGTTGTGTTAGTCCACGTTTGCAGTACATAGTGATTTCATTCCTCATGGGGACTTGGTACATGGACATAACACGCCTTAACTCTTTTGACTGCCTCTTCCCCTCCTCTCCCAGCCCTTCCCTTTATCTCTTGGTCCTCTTTCCAGCTGCAAAACATCTCTCTCTCTCTCTGTTTCCTGTTATCTCTCTTATATTTTTCTCTTTAAATTATTTATACATTGGGTTTCTCATATAAAAGAAACGAAGCAATATTTAACTTTTTGTATTTGATTTATTTCACTTAATATTATGGCCTCAATTTACATTTATTTTCCTACAAATGACTCACATTTATTCAGTGAGATTCTTGAAGGTAGAAAATTGACTATCTTGTAGAGGTAAAGATGAAAAACCTTTCTCTTTTGCAGATGTGACCTTTTAATAATTGATTTCTTTGTCTACTGTAACATCCCTGTTTGTTGATTTTTTTGCCTGTAGCAGGTATTCATTTAGTGTTATTTGAATTTAAATTTTCTCATTGCTTTTTTAATGATGTTTCTAAAAATGTATTATACAATTCAGTTGTTAGTTTTCAGCTTATTTTCTTTTATTCTGTAAGTTATTCACACTATACAAGCAATGTCCATATACTGTGTATGGATTAGCCAGTCATAGTTGTGGGAATATCAACTATATCCCCAGAGGGAAAAGAGGAGAGTGGTGGAGTGTAGTGGAAAATAATGAATTCGTGTCACTATTGAATCTTCTTATATTTTGGGGGTTGATATTACAGAGTTTCAAAGCCAGGTAGGACTTTATGAAATTTTCAAGTCTAGTCCCTTCATTTTGCTGATGGCAAAACTAAGACAAAATGAGTTTTGTTGATTATCCATTATTGTGCAACTAGAAAGGGTCAGAACTCTGACTTAAATACAGGCCTTTCAGTTCCCCTTCATTATCTTTTCAGTGGAGATATTTGTGGGGAAAATGTTAAAAACACCACCACTGACCATTTTCTGATGACTATGTCATATACATATTCATGTGATTACTATAATTTTACATTATATCTACTACAGATATGCAGATTAGAATAATAATATGCCCTTTAACTTGACCACTGGTTCTTGTTTCATGTATACAAAGTAAAATGACTTCTTATATTTGAAGTAAAATTTAAAATTTTGCTATTTTGTTACGAAAGCCATTTTAGTTATCCTGTATAGTGAAGTATAGTGTGAAAACGTAACATTTTAACTCATTTTTTTCTCATAATTCTTTAGACTTCCTGCTATATCCTGATCATCACTATTGCAAATATTGCAAATTTGGCCAGTACTGCTACCGCGATAACAATCCAGAGGGATTGGATTGTTGTTGTTGCAGGAGAGGACAGAAGCAAATTAGCAGGTAATTTGGTTTTCTTTTTCAACTAAATTAATGTTAGGATTTACTTTGAATCAGTAGCAATAAATGAGGTGAAAAACCTTTTTATTTTTGATGTTCTGGGTATATTTTAATAGTAAATTGAAAGCATAATTTTTTTACTTTATTGTCAGTCTTAGTGCTAAGATTTCTGTTATGGTATTAATTTATAGGATAGCTGACTACTCTTATTCTATGCACACCAGGCAAGTGGAAGAACTTTTTTGAAATTTTCCGTTTTCTTTCTAAAAATTCTGTTAACCATTACTAAATATTTATTTAATACTTACAACAATGAAAATCTGGCATGATATTTTACATGGATATTTTTACTGTACTTAAGGGTCATACTTTGGATATTATTTTTCACCATACCAAATGGAAACAACTTAATAGTAAAGAGACCCTAGTAGTTAGTTCCTCCTACTTTAAAGTTATAATCTATAACTTTTATTACATTATGTAGAATGTAATATAATTATTAAGATATTTTTAAAATAGAGGCCAGGATGCAGTTTTCAAGAGGCTTACAAACCACTGGAAACCTATACAAGTAAGTGCAGAAGAGTGAAGAATGCTTATAAAGCACCTTTGTCCCATGACATCTAGCTTATTGTGATTCACCGTAGCCCGGATGCTCTTCACCTTCTCCCCATAGGACACACAGACCCAGATTGGGTTGAATCTACCTAGGGCAAAGGAGGACACATCAGCTGAGTGAACTGTGCTGGTCATTAAGGTCATGAGCATCAAAAACACATTGCTCAACCATCCTGAGGGATGCGAACACCATTCTTGGTGACTTAAGTGACTTATCTAAGGAACGGTATGCAAGATTATACTCTGGGATTAGCCAGTGGCTTTGTTTGACTGGACCTTGTGGTTAAAAAAAAAAAGGAAGTGGTGATTGAAAGAGAACAAAGTCTGTGGAAGGTCTGGAAGAATTATTTGCTTGAATCATCACATGTGGTAGTAGTATTGTAATCCAGGTAGAAATACCGCACTGACTTCAGAGGAAAATATATGCATATTTCCTGTACCCAGGAAATTCCCTTTGACATTTCTTTCTGCTATTATAATAAGGCATAATTCTGCATCTCTTTTTGTTACACTGAAGAAGCCCTACATAGACACACCTCCTCCAGCTGGGGAAATGTGTGTGTATCCGGGCTGTTTTGTTTTTTTTTTTTTTTTTGTACTGGGGATCGAACTCGGGTTCTTGAGCTTTCCGGGGTGGTTTTAAGGCTGCTGGCAATGAGTTGGAAACCCAGATAGAGGACTGGGTGGCGAGGGCTTCACCTGTGTGTGCTGGCTGCTCGTGTAGGGGTGAAAGTGTGTGAAATAAAGAACAAAGATCATGAGCTGGATCCTAACTGTTCCCATTTCCTTATCCCTGCATTTCTTGATTGCGAAGATAGTTTTAACATTGGAAGCTGCATTAACTGAGGGTAAAGAACAGGAGAAATTTTCCCTGGCAAGGTTAGAATCTCAGCAAAATACAGCTGTCCCCTTTAGTTTGGAATGCTCTGAAATAGGTATTTCTTTTTAAACGTATATACTGTTAACTAATCTGTTATATAAGTTAGGTGCTTTCTGGGTATTTGATTTAGTATTTTATTAAAACATTCGCTTTTGCCATGTGGTCTTCTTAGCCTGCTTGAAATTCATTCCTTTCCCAGACTTTTTACCCTGTCTGTTGCAAGGACCCTTTGTGAATCACTTTATTGTTATCTTGAGAGGATTCTCTTGCCAAGCATTCTAAAGTAAAATCTGCTTGTTAGCTTCAGTCAGGTGTAGCGATAAATTTCATGTCTGAATTCTGTTGATTAAAACTGATTTCATGTTTGAGGCAGACAAACCTGTTTGCTACTGTTTCCTCAGCAAATCCTTAAAAAAATTCTATGAGATGTAATACACTCTTTATAATAAAGGTCATTATTTATGTCATGGCCTGTGTTATAGTTGTAGCCAAAACAGTTAAATGAGCCCACATTTATGTTTGTATGAGAATAGGTGCAAATTTGTAAAGAGGAAGTTTGGGTGTTGAGAAGTCTGATTACATGTGTGCGTGCACGTGCTAGGGGTTGAACCCAGGGCCTTGTACACGCTAAGCACATTTTGTACTAACATGTTTCCCCCCCAACCCAGAAGCTGGATTCTGTTCTAGAATGTTATGAAGAAAATGATTAGGTCTTTTTATTTTAAAAAATTTAATTTGTTCTGCTTCAGAAAAAAACTATTTCTGACACTGCACTTGTACTGACTCCTAAAC